GTCGCCGTGGGGCGGGGGCGCGGGCGGGGGGGCGAGTGCGCCCGCGAGGTCCAGCGCCAAAGAGGAGGCGAGGAGGGAGGCCACCATTTGGCAATCCAAATATAGTCTGGTCAGACACTGTCGGTACTTCGGGGGTAGCGGGGGCCGGAGCCCGGACCACAGAAGGAGGACCTGCAGGGTTTGGTGGGCGATATCGTTCAAGTCACCGGCGAGGTCCTCGCCCAGATGCGTGCGTTTTCGTCTTTCGCCGTCAAGAGCTTCCGGCCCGTGGGGGTCGCCCGCACGTGCGTCTATTGCAGACAAATTCAACGTTATGTGTGACGCGGCGATGCGGCTGTTGAAGTTTGGTCTCGATTCGTCCACGACCGCGGGTGCGCAATCGTTGCGGCGGTTGGAACCCATCGCCGCAGCCATGGCGGACGCGCCATCCAGGTTTCGGACTACTCTAATGCGGAACAGTGATGTGTTTCCGGACGAGTACCACCGGGTGGCACTGCCGAGGTTGCAGAACGAGGACTTCAAATTGTGGACAATGGCAATCATCACCTGGATGTTCCCCTTCACGAAGATGCATTATCCGCCGGATGCGTTCGACGGCCACACCTTGCCGCCGGTGCCCGAGTTCTCCAACATCAAGAACTTCTGTGAACGGGGGGTGAACCTATTCCGGCTGATCCTGATTGAAGGGGCATCCCGCCCCGGGACAGGAGGGTCGAGGGGCGGGAGCGGCAAGCGTAAGGCGGGCCAACTGGATCGGGGTGATTTATCGTCACGAAATCGCGTCTCGAAGGAGTGCCGCCAGTTCCGCGAATCTGGCACGTGCACTTTCTGCGACAAATGCAGGTTTGAGCACGTCAAGCGCCGAGACTCGTCAAGTACCGGAGGTGGCGGTGGTGGGGGCGGGAGTCGTGGTGGAGGGGTGCGCTCGTCGGCTGGTGGTCCGGGGGACGGCGTCGCCCGTGGAGGAGGACAGGCTGACGGTGGCGACGGTGGTGGCTCGTCGTCGGCCTTGATAGTGCGGGGTGGGAGCAACTAGGGGCTACGCCAGCTGGCGGGGCCAACTCCTGTGTCGGCTCTAGCTGAGAGGCCGCAACAGCAGCCAGGTCATAGCGAGATGGTGGCCCCGGCCTTGGCTGTCGTGGGAATCCGAGGCGAGCGCTGTGAGGGCTTGCCCGGAGTGGTTTCCGACTTGGAATCAGGTACGAGGCAAAATTTTGAACAGGTTTCGCCGTGTGAGGTTGAAGATTGGCGTGTGGCTGTGTCTGCGTTTGGCTGAGTGTGAAGCTGCAGAACGGTATGTCCATCTTCACCATGTGGTGCATGTGGGTTCAAACTTACTTCGACGGTGTGGGGGACGCGTGGAAAGGTTCGTCGCTGCTGTTGGCCAGAAGTTCTTTCTGCCCCATGTCGATGTGATGCGTGTCGAGGCACATTTTGGGGATGTGAAAAATTTTCCCCAAGCTGGTTAACTTCTGAGACTGTTATCTCCGGGTGCGCCGGTTGGCGTGTGCTCAGGTAGGAACCTTGACGCCGAAGTGGCGTACGGCAAACATCCTAGCGCGTTACTGCACAGAGATCGGATCACAGACAAAGTTGTATCGGACGTGATATTGGGGCGTGCGCTGATTTTCGATGTTCAGTTCATCCGAGAAAGCTTAGGAATCAGAGTGTCGCCGTTAGGCGTATTCGACGAAGCCAAGTTCAGAAATATTCACGATCTCACTTTCACCGCTGGCGTGCCAATCCGTACGAGCGTAAAGCACGATACGGACTTCGATCAAGCACCTGAAAACCTCTTGGGTCATGTGTTGAGTGACATTCTGAAGCGGGTGCTGTATTTGCAACAAGTACACGGGGTGTCGTTGGAAATTCTGATCTGCCGCATTGATGTTAAAGAAGCCTTCCGGCAAATCCCGGTGGATCCGTCTCGGGCATCGGTTTTTGGGTACACGATCGGAGATCACGCGGTTGTTAACCTATGGTGTCAATTTGGATGGCGGTCGAGCCCAGGGTTTTGGTCCTTGTTCTCGTCCGCCGTGGAACACTCACACACACACGCTGCAGTTCAGGAAGCGTCCGTCTCTCAAGCCGGTGGTGCGGCTGTGCAGCATGTTCAAGTAGTGTCCCCACCAGACGAAAGTACAGCGGTGCCGTTACCTGTTGACTACCAGACTGTTGTGGGTGACGGGGCGTTTGCTGGTTCTCCGTTTTTCGTGCGATACTACGTTGAAAATGGTGTGTTGATTGAAGGGCAATTTTTCGCTGATGGTCGCCGATGTTTGTGCGCGGTGTGTTCTCTCGCTACGGGTCACTTTCGTCTGGTGGGA